TGTGTGTGTGTGTAAAAGAGAAAGAGAGAGGGAGAGAGACTGGGGTTGTATACCAGGTCCTTACCTTCTCTTCTCTCACACTCACTCTGTTTTCAGCATATGCAGTTTGGGACAACTAGTGACAGCTTTAAAGAAAATGCATCACTTTCTCTCCTGTAACCATTGAGTTGGTTGCTCTGCGTGCAATACTGCAGGCCGGTTTATATGAAGTGACGTACTCTTTCCTAAATATATGCATAAGCAAGAGCTTTTTCTACATGTTGGTGTTTTAAAGATTAAGTGGGGTCGTCATGTGTTTGGGATTTGTGAGGCTTTGGCTATCAAAGGGTGAAAATGACCCTGGGGTGAAGTAAGGTGAGCATTATATGTAAATTGCAGTGAACAAAGAAAATGGGGACAACACAATCTAGTTGAGTAATTTTGTAAATAATAATGACTTTTAATGTGATTCTTTTTCTAATGGGGGAAAGGCAGCTGAGGTACAAAATAGTAACAATCAAGGAGAGAGATTCCAGCATATATGTGAAACCAGTTAGATACACTGAATCATCAGTATGTGATCTGTGATGCTGATTACTAACACGTATTTTGACTGTTGGTCAATCTTATAACCTTAATCTTTAAATTCTCCAAAATTAAATCAGAGCTCTTTTATTTTTATTTTTACATGATCTATGTGTTCGGCAAAAGATTGTGAAAGTTTCTGATATGAATGCATTGATACAATGTAATCAAGTTGTTTGGAGTAGCTATGAATAATAAACAAACCAAGTTCATAATATGTCATTAGATAAGTCTTACAGGACATTGTTACAACACAAGCTTGTGCTAAGACTAGAGTGGTTGTGGCAGTGTGTGGAGCTGGAGTTGCTGAAAGATTTCCCATTGCTAATTCCCAGATGCTCTCCATCTCCCCTCTGTGTTCCCGACCCTCCCTTCGCCACAGGTCATGATATTACCAGTTCTCTGGAGCCAGCCAACATCGACACCAGTATCCTGGAAGAGTACATCAGCAAGGAGGACGATAGCACTGACATGTCAGTAGGGACTCCAAACCAACGTCAAAACAACATGCACCAACCGAATCAGATCATGTTGTTACAAAGGAATTTGTTTTTTCTGATAAGGCTAAATCTTTTTTTCCTTCCTCTTCTTCTTTCTCCCAGCTGTTTCTCAGAGGTCCACAGCGCCCCGGGACCAAATTACTCATCTCCCCAGGCAGGAGTGTCCTCCGCTGGGGGGTTGGTGTGTGGTGTGAGCCCCCCTATTCCACTGCGCCAAGGAGCCCCTCTACCTGGGCCCCCTAACTGTCAGAACGTCTACCCCCCAGGTCCATCCTTGGGCCTCCGACACAACTACTCCTGCCTGGGTCAGCAGCAGCAGCAGCAGCAGCCACACCAACACCAGCAGCAGCAACAGCAGGCTCACGTCAAGCCGGAGCACAGGGGCCACTACGCTCCAGGGTGAGCACAAAACCTCTGACGTAGATGGATGGAGGTACAAGAAGGAGGAAATATAGCATGAGTTGGTACTTAGGAATGTTAAAAAAATATTTAAGATGCTCCTGAAACTCTAATTTCAAACATGAACATGAAGAAATTGAGCAGATTTTCTTATTTAAAGCATGCAATGAAACCAGACACTCACCCTACTACTGGTCCATTATGCAATCAATACTTGATTAAGCCTCATTCGTACAAATAAACCACTAGTTGGTCAAGAGGGGGAGGGAGACTGATAACAGACAGAGAGAGAGTCAAATTACATCCTGCAAAAAAAATCCTGACGCACACAATCTTGTGTAAAGAAAGTCAACTCTTACCTCTGATCCCAAAGGAAAGTTTCTCCTTTAAATATAATGGCAGTTTAGAAAATAAGAGGAATGCACGAGGAAGGCTTTTCCAGCTTCAAGCATGGTATTTCTTTAAGGATTTCTATAATGTGAAAGTCAAATATTATTGGTTTTGTGAATATAACATCTACCACCGTCTGTTTTTTGTAGGACACTACCTGAGTCTCCCCCAGACTCAAGCTCAGAGCCGTACTCTCCTCAGCAGGTGAATGGTAAGTAACACGTTTTCCCTTTCCCTGCAAAAATGTGTAAGAAAGAATCACTGGAATAAATGCACAGAAATACTATCCAAGGTGGAGATATGTTTGTATAGACAAATACAGACAGTATGAAAACGATTACAGACTGGTTATTTGACATTTGATTTATATTTAATATGGTATGATATAATATATGATATACAGTCTTGTCCTATTTGTCCAGTGGACTTGACAGAGGGCACACAAAAAAGAGACCATTCAACAAACAGAAATGGTGCTTTAATCTGTAGACTGAGTCTGAGGAAGTCACTGAAGCATTCAAGGTGTATGTGGGTCACAGCCAGAGTCAATATCTGTTACTCATCAATTCATTGTTTTTGAACAGAGCATAAAGACAGACAGAGAATCCAGTTCATGTGCAAACCAATCAATATGTTGAATGCAGTGTGTATCTTATTAATTAAGAGTTTACATAATTTGTTTGAAAAAATTATTTTTCTGTTGTATAGTGAATATGTACTGTCTTATAATTGTGTATACTACATTGTTAATTGTCTTATAGTGTTTGTAAACTACAGTTATTTTTTCTCTTACAGTGTTAATTTCTTAACAGAAAGGTTTTTCTCACTTTCCTCCCCAGGGACTACAGATGTAAATTAGCTCATAGCTAACTCAGGTGCAGCTAAGTAGCTGTGCACTAACCTTAATAAACAAACAAATAAAAATGAATTAATAAAAATCAGTAGAATGAAATTTCCTTAATGGTTTGTTTAAACATACAAGTTGAAGAACAACAGTACTCAAAGTCAGTTTGTACTTCTTGCTGCTCACACACCTGTGTTGGTCTTGCCCATTAGTAACAAGGTGTGGAATAGTGTTATCTGATGGGCGTCCCTCCAGTTCTCCAGTTTGAATCAATGGAAAGTACCTTTACCCAAGGTTGGAGGGACGTAAAATAAACTGCAGTGTGAAATGTGGACTAATCAACCCTGAGGAGAAAAAGTTGCCTTCTGTATGCGATCAAATTTATGTATTTGCAAGGAAAAACAATATGAATCATCATGTAAACATTATGCTCCATCCCTGTTGTGTCTTTTAGATCCTCACATGATCAGGACCATGACCCCAGAGAACATGTGTCACATGACTCCAACGCCACCCCTCCCACCACACGGGCACTACCCCAGCATGCATCGGGACATGTATCTGAAGCCTGAGCCCATGATATCACAGTATTCTATTGGCCCAGCCACAAGTGGAAGTGGTGACATGCAGCAGACACAGATGCTCCATCAGCTACTGCAGCATCCTCAGGGGCAGGAGTGAGTTGTGAAGATAATACAGGAGGGAGGGCGGAATGGAGGGAGGGATGTGCTGTCCAGTTTATATGGAAAAGAAGGAATGATGGGAAGGTATTGTGGGTAGGAATGTGTACAACTTTTGACTGAGTATCTATTTCCTCACACAGCGGCATCCCTGTTCACCAGGCGAAGAAGAGGAAGCACTCCGACTCTCCCAACAGCACCCTCAATTCCCAAATCCTCACAGGTATCATCAAACAAGAACCAGGTAGGCAGGCATCTTTTTCTTTTCTTCGCCTCCTCTACCTCACGCTCACCTGCTCTTGATTTAACTCTTACACAGATTAAGACTTCTACAGAACAGATACAGACATGCTTAACATTTTTCTGTCTTGCTTTAGTTGCTTATATTTCAATCTGTTTCTCACAGGTTTAATGCAGGATGCAGACAACGCCTACCTGGACCCAAACTATCAGTGCATCAAATGGCAACCTCACCAGCAGAGCAAGTGGACACCACTATATGACGCAAACTGCAAAGAGCTGTGGGTGGAATTTATTTTGGCATATCTGTACTAGTCTTTGCTGGGGGGAGGGGGCGCGGGGGCTGAAAGCACTCTGCAGAGAGTCAAAAATAAAATTAGTTATAATTGGTTAAATAAATAATTCAACAAGAATACAGCGGGAGTGGAAAGGAACAGCAGGTTTGCAGAGTTCTACAAATTCCTCAGAGGTGAGCCGTGCGGGGGAGTGAACGAGTGCAGGGTTTCGGCTTAGCGGGTGAGGAGGGGTAAAAGGAAAAATTAATGTAGACCTACTTTTGCTTTTGCAACGCCAAAACAGAGAGAAGTATAGATAGGGAGGAAGGTAAAATGAACTCACAAGACCTTTCAGATATGTTATCAAAACCACCTGGTTGCTCATCACAACTTTTAGCACACTACACCTACGTGAAGGAACAGAGGGTTTTCATTTTGTTTTAAATTAGATTTATTATGTCTTTCGGAAGATCTCAGTCCTCAGCGTCATAAAGTAACAACAGCAAACTAAGGCTGCCTGTGCCGCTGTCTACAACGAGGAGACATTTAATAAAAATGTCTTTGATTTTATGTTAGCATCACAGGAGAATGATAGAGGTGTTTACGCCCCCACATAGAGTATAAAGTGTTATCCAATTCTTTATCAAATTAAATATATTGCATCCACGTGTGTATTTCTCTGAGCAATTGTTATGAAAAACATGTGGAAGCCCCCTGTAACAGAGTCAAGAGTCTCCCCCTGGTGATAAAAATGGCAAAACTCTTACTTTCCACTTTTCTTACAGCAAATGCAAGCTCCCTAATTGACATATGTCACAATCTCTCTCCCTGTCTTTAGTCCGATGCCCACCTACCGTGTTGATGCTGACAAGGGCTTCAACTTCTCCTTGGCTGATGATGCTTTTGTTTGCCAGAAGAAAAACCATTTCCAGGTCACAGTGTACATAGGCATGCTGGGAGATCCAAAGTACATCAAGACAAGTGAAGGCCTGCAGCCCATTGACTGCTTCTATCTCAAACTCAACGGAGTAAAAGTGAGTGAAGGCAAAATAGTGAATGTGACACAGATAACAGAAAGCTCTACAGAGTACTCACTGTATATTTTATTTTCCTTTGTGTTGCTAGGTGGAGGCCATGAATCAGTCTATCAGTGTGGAGCAGTCACAGTCTGACCGCAGCAAGAGACCCTTTAAGCCAGTGCTGTAAGTCTGAACAATTTAAACGATAGGTTCATGATTTTCCAAGTCTGTCTTGAAACAATGTACATTAAAGCAGTTTATGCTTGCTGTAATGACTGGCCAACTGGCCATGAAAGATATAATATGTAACATTTACGCATTCAAATGTCTATAAACACTTGACCTATGTTATATATTTTGTTGAGTTATGTGCTTACAGTATTCCAGATGTTTCCAACAATGTTCAAACTGAGAGAAATCTGTCAGTTTATTCAGGTAACGTTGGTTTCACAGGTTGCCTGTCAGTGGCATCATATCCCCTTTTCACATGTGTCAGCACTGTAGTTGTCTGCCCGAAGCTGTCATACTTTTTGTCCAGTTTTAGGCCACATTTTACATTACACTTCTTCTTGGTAGTTTTATATAACTATATATTTTCAAAGGATTCTATTCGTCAGATGTCTGGATCTTAAGTTATCAAAGAAACAAGCTGAGGTAATGTTAGCAGGAGCTCGGCTTCCAGCCCCTTCAGGATGTCATTTTACTGCCGAACAGCATCGGAGAAAACACAGATTTTAAGGTGAAACTGCTTTATACAGTGTTTTTACCAGTTTTAATCACAAGGGAGGATAATTCAACTCCCGGTAAAAATACAAAATCTTCAGCCCTCATTCTGTTCAATAATGTATTCAGACGTGTATCTAAAGCTTCAGCTGTCTGAATTACATGAATAAAGTGAGCATCTTCCACAGTTACTGAACATTGGGAGGGGATCTTTTAATGGCCAATATGAACAGGAGGAATGATTACAGCAAGCAATAACTGTTTCAATGTTCATATGTGCACCTGGCTTAAAACAGACTTGAAACATTGTGATCTATCTATTAATTGAAGCACAAACAGTATACAGCTGTAGGAGGAGGATTTTTTTCCTAATGTATTTGTGATTTCCTTTCTTCCAGGGTGACCTTGCCCTCAGAGCAGGTCACAAAGGTCACAGTGGGTCGGCTCCACTTCAGTGAGACCACAGCAAATAACATGAGGAAAAAGGGCAAACCGAACCCTGATCAGAGGTGAAACACATGTAACATATGACATGTAAACATATGATCCATTATAATCCAATTAAAGCTCCAGTAGTCACATCTGTACCTAATGTTTTTGTCCTCGCAGGTATTTCATGCTGGTGGTGGCGCTGCATGCTCAGTCCCACAGTCAGAGCTACACTGTGGCTGCTCAAGTGTCTGAGAGGATCATCGTCAGGGTAACGTCTGGCCATGTCTGTCTGCCTCCTACAACAATCATATCCCTTGTGAATGTGGCATCTTTCTCATGGTCTACTGTACATACCTCTCTGCACTTCAGCATCACTGTGTAGATCTCAACATCTTCTCCATTGTCTGTCTTTCCATTCTGCGTGCTTGTGATCCCCAGCACACATATTGTACACTCACTATTGCACAGTTTAGGAGAGTTGCATATTGTCGCTGTCCTGTAAAACCCTGTGCTGCACCTTAAAACGACCTGTCATGAGCGAAGAAAAAAACTTGTATCAGCTGTGTGGCCATGCCTTTTTTCCAGTTACATCACTAAATCTGTGGAAAGAGGATTTTCTCTGTTAGATCAACTTTTGAATCTAAAACATTAAAAAGTTTGGCAATACATGGTTTTTAGTGGACAGAGATGGTATTGTACTTACTCCACATGTTTAAACCTATTTAAAAGCTATATAATCATGTATTATCTAGTAAAATAAAAACAGTAAATAATAAGTGTCATTTAGTAAATTGAAACTAAGACTAAGCTGTAAGGTCTAATGTTAAGTCAGTCAATCATTTACATCTTTGGCTTGTGTTGAAGGAATAGTTCCACATTTTAGGAAATACATTTATTGGATCTGTGCGGTAGATATATGGCTGGAACCAGCAGCTGGTTAGTTTAGCCTAGCATAAAGACTGGAATCAGGGGGATACAGCTAGCCTATCCTTGTCCAACAACACAAAACCATGCCTACTAGCATTTCTAAAGCTCTCATAAAGCATAAAAACTAGATTAGGTTGACTAGGTAGGCTAAGTTATTTTACTGGGGGATTTATGCAAGACCATTTCTTAACTGGTAATAGTACAGAGCACTTCCTGGAGGCTTCACTGGTTGTCTCGCAACCTTACAGTAACAACAAAACTCCTGGGCAAGAAATGAGCACACTATATTTTCTAAAATGTGAACTGTTCCTTTAAAAATATTGCAATTACTTTTTGGTAAAACCAAAACCACTGATTGTCTGTGCACCTTTGCCCTTGTCTCTCTGTTACAGGCATCCAACCCAGGCCAGTTTGAAAGTGACAACGAGGTGCTGTGGCAGCGCGGTCAACTACCAGACTCAGTCTACCACCACGGCAGAGTCGGCATCAACACCGACCGGCCGGACGAGGCCCTTGTTGTCCACGGAAACCTGAAAGTCATGGGCTCCCTGGTACACCCGTCTGACATTAGGGCCAAAGAAAATGTCCAGGAGGTCAGGATGACACTCAGTGTGTATCTGTATATGTTTGTGTGTGTGTGTGTGTGTGTGTTTCCAAACTGTCAGTGTGTGCCCCATGTGCTTGTCACCATGAATCATGTCATCCAAATTCCCATGCTCAGCACAGTTGATGGTGCAGTTTAACTCTGACTTTTGTATTTTCATTATTCTTGATCAAAGCATTTTCATCTGCAACATGAACATCGTGTTTTCATACCATCTGCATGGATGTCATTGTCATTCTGTCTGTGTGTAGGTCGACACCACAGACAATTTGAAACGGATTTCTCAGATGAGGCTGGTCCATTATCAATACAAGCCTGAGTTTGCTGCCACCGTGGGCATAGAGAACACTGCAGAGACTGGTAACAACTTCATAAATAACAAATTCAAATGTTTGCCCCCATCATCTCATTTCTTTGTACACTGTAAATCATGTTATCATCTGAATGTCTTAATATTTGATCTGTCCTTTGCTGTATGTGACCTTTTATGCAAGTGTGTCCTGTATCTGTGCATGCCGTCATGCTTTTGCTCTTTTTCACTCCACTGCACTTGTTGTATATTCTCCTGCAGGAGTGATCGCCCAAGAGGTTCAGCAAATCTTGCCTGAAGCAGTGAAGGAGGGGGGTGATGTGGTGTGCGCCAATGGAGAAACTATTTCCAACTTGTTAGTCGTCAACAAGGTAATGAACACACATAAAAATACTTGTGTCATGAAAGTGCAAATGCAATACAAATTTGTGAAGATTCAAATTGGTGGTTGTCGTGGTATTAAGGTGCAAAGACTTCAGTTTCACTTCTCCAAAGAAAAGTACATATGCATTGTTTTGCACAGTTAATAGCCTACCTCTGAAAAAAAAAGAGAAAGAAAATATATTTTACGGAGTATTCTTTGAGAAATTAGGGAATCTTCATTCTCATTTTGTCAAAAAATTGTAAGAAAATCTTATTATGAACTCAGTATTGTGAACTCTATCGAATCAGGAGTTAAGTGTATCACTACATCCCTAACACACCCATTACTTCCATGTACATTAACAGCTTTCCTTCTCATTTTGAAGGAACGTATCTTCATGGAGAACGTGGGAGCAGTGAAGGAGCTGTGTAAGCTGACAGACAACCTAGAGACTCGAATAGATGAACTGGAGCGCTGGAGCCGCAAACTGGCCAAGCTGCGTCGCCTTGACAGCATGAAGAGCACCGTGAGTGGAGGCACTGTCAGGTGAGAGCCGTTAGCATTAATCACCTTAAATTTAAGCTTCAGATTGTGAGAGATTGAGAAAAAAAAATTAATAAATAACTTTCTTTTTCTTGACCGTGTAGCCAATCAGGGAGTTATTTCAGCCGAACAGGAAGCGGCCCACTCAAGAAGAAGACAGTCCGACCTGGTAGCAAGGTCTGTGGTGATGATGAATAAAACCCATCTTAAACTGTGTTATAAGTGAACAGCAGAATTTTCAACTTTAAAGTAACTTGTGTGTTTATTTCTAGAATTCGCTCCCAGATCAAGGTTGCATCAGCCAGAGGTTCATGCAGGGAACCATCCTGGCCCTGGTCATTGTCATGGCCTTCAGGTATGACTGAGCAAAATGTGCTTGGGGAGGGAGTGGTGGGTAAATACAAAATCAGCTTCATCTGTGTACATGGTGACATCGTAATGATGAATTGCATCTTTTTTCCCCGCCAACAGTGTAATTTCCATGTCCGTCTTGTATGTGTTGACTCTTCACCATAGAGGAGACGTCACAGAGAAAGACGGGTATGTGCTTTTGAGGGAGACAGACACTTAAGCTTTTTAGTGAAAAAAATCATTTTTCCCCTTCTTCATTAATGTCTCTCTATATAATCTGTTCCTTCTTTCTGTAGCTATGTTCCTTCCTGTGTTCTCTACATCTCTTGGATGCCCATCTTTACTGCCACTGTAACTTTCTGTCCACCTGTCTGCCCATGGTATGCTTTCAACACCTGCCTTTCTTGATGCTTAGTTAATTTTCTGATCTACTCTTTCAGTCTTATCTGTGATTGCTTAGTTGGGTGTTTCTTTTGTCCTGTCTGAAAGGAGATCATGAGTCACGTATCTAAACACCCTAAAATTAATTGAGTTTTAAACATATCATTTAGCTAAAGCATGCTCTTGACCTACTGTACTGCTATCTGATTGGTGCAGGTCCAGAGCTGCCCTTGGATCCTCACGTAAGAGTCCATATACTCCACCATCCACCACCCCTGCACCAGGTGAGTGGAGAATTAAATTTGGTGTTTTTTAAAATGCACAGCAAGTGACATGCTCACTCAGGACATACTGAATATATTTTACTCAGATCTGATCCTTTTCTCTCTTTTCTCCCACAAATTATCCAGCTTGCTGTTCAACTACAGCCATAAACAACCAATCAGCTACAGTTTTGACATTGAGTAACAACCAGTCCACACCAGGTAAGTAAGCAAATATGAGATGTTCTCCTGTAGTATACATTTGTCTTCAGCGCAGATTAATTATCTTCTTTCTCTAGATTTGGGCAGCCTGGTTCCCACTCCAAGCACTATAATTAAGAAGGCCAAGTCCAGACCAATGGACAAAGAAGGCCGCTTTAGAAACCGTCTGAGTCACACCTCAGCACCTTTGTACTTTGCCAAGTCCAAAAGACCAGCAGACCTGGATGGAGTGGGAGCTACCAACCGTCTGCCTGTGGGTCAGCAGCCAGCATCACGCAGACAACGCAGCCTATACACAAAGGGTAAATCTACAAACACAGCCCAGACACGGCACTTTCTTCACACACATAATATGAAGTATGCAAACACAGTAAAGCCATTTGTTTGACAACAGCAAACAAAGCTTATCTTCATACTGTACAATGGAATGCGATGGGTATAGTGCTCATAGTGCAGCTTTTCTTACTTTTGCAGGAGGAAGGTCAGCTCCCTCTCTGACTAGTCTACATATCGTGGAGACAAACCAAGAGATCACAGCACAAAGTTGCGCAACACCTGAGAGCTGCAGGTATACTATACTAAAAAATGTCACTAGTTGATGTTCGCCTCTTACAATTTGCATTCAGGTCTTGGCTTGATGCTATTTTTCCTCTATGTTGACTCTAGTTACACAGTATCACTCCATGGAAACAGAAATTCCTCCATCTCACAAATCACTTTGCACATGACGTGAGTATGAAAACATCACACTATTTACATAACTGCACATGCAAAATGGTAATGCTTTGTTTTACATAACGTAACGTTATGTAAATTCCTAATAATTTCCTTAGAATTTTCCTGTGAAGAACCATGTAATATGGCACTGATCATCAGTGAAATAGACACAGGCTTTAATTGGTACACTTCCAATTAATCAATTGTAGTTAATTGCTAGTCTCAGGGACATGCACAGAACCCCACACACAAACATTTTTGCAGATACAGCGTCTTGAAACTACAACTACCACTGAAGCTATGTAAAACATGAAATTCTAAGAAATTTGTTAGGAAATGACAGATCCATAAAACAAATCGTTATCCATGCAACTAAAAAAAACTAATTTTAATTGTATATCTACACAGGAGACATAAGACATATTTAATTCATTACAGGTCCACGAACGGCGTGTGGGTACGACAATGTGGAGCCACCAAGGGACGTTTATGCCCCAACCACACAGAGACAGAGCTATACGGTGGAGAGAGTACATCAACAAAGGTACATAATAATGTACTTCATCGTGATCCATCATATAATCAAAACTTATTTTCTTTTTTTGTCATTTTCGATGTCAAACTATCATTATTATTAATTTAGAACTTGCTTCTCCAAGGGCGACTTACTGCAAATTACCATTTCACCGACTCATTATATTCTTTATACTTTTCTTTAAGGGGACTCATCACCTGTGGTCAGTGCCTGTGTTGTCTTTCCAGGACATCACCTATCACTTTCGTGTCTCCCTGTCTGTGAGTAAACAAAATATGAGAGGATTTGAGACGCTGTAGACGTGGTTCCTCTGTGTGGTTGTTTGATCCATTTATTGTGTTTTTGAGACTGATGAATGATTTGTATCTCCTTATGCTTTTCAATGACAGAGTGAAGTGAGTTGTGCCACTGAAGGAGAAGCCTCATCATACTCTGACTACCATTTTCTCATTCAAAGCAGCTGTGTGTGAGAAGGAAGACGATGTGTCCCAGTGCCTTTACAATACACCACGTGTTTCCTTTGTGGTTCTATTTGTACGCTGTTTTGATGGGATTGTGTTTTGTCTCAATACTGTACATTATTTTTAAAGATATTCATACAGAACAAACTATATACCACTGTCCCCACTGTAATCCCCTCCATATGTATATGCATTAAGACATCTCTTTTTGCTGTGATCACTGGAATTTCAAACACTGTTCAAGGTTTTTTTGTTTGTCTATCATGTTTTAATGTTTTAGATCACTGTAATTTACAATTGTGTTGTGTCACTGTTAACTGCCACTATGTATGTAACATCCATGAGTTTATAACTCACTTAATTACTGATCACTATGTTTTCCATACTTATTATAAGCCATAATTCAAGTTTCTTAATGAAGTCCAGGCTAAGATACTGTAGATGACACTACACACATTTTGTATAATGCAATGTATGTACACTGAAACCAGTGTCAAGTGAAAACAAAAACACTTTTCAGTAGATTTTATACACTGGAGAGAAGATCATTGGCTTCTGCTGAAGGCCTCAGTGAATGGTTGCAACTTGCACTGGAAATATACCTCAGTAGTGCACACTGGCAAATCCTGGGTCTCTACAGTGGAGCATTGTGTTTGAGGCTGCTGAAGTTGACTGACTGTCTGCCGTCTCCTCATGCAGCATCTAACATTGAAAACACTGTATAGAGCGGGAAACACTCTGCAGTATACTTATCTCAATTATGACATTGAATGAAACATCAAATTGTTCCATTATATGTTTATTCATATTATAGTATTACACAAAAATCCTTATTATCGTTTTCGTAAATCAAGGCATATACATGTCAGCAGATTCACTGGATGACACGCAATGAGACTGGATAGGTAAACAAATCACTGGAAACGAACATGTAGGAACACTGACAGCTTTTAGCATCTGATCGTGGAAATGCCAGCTCTGACAAGATTTCAGGAAACACTGGAAAAGCTTACACTGTATTTTGCTAACTGGACAGAATGCTGGTAAAGGCAATTAATGGCATATATCATGTCAGGTGCATGCCCAATCATTTCTCTAAAATGATACATCTCAGCTCAGAGGCAACTCAAATGCTGCTTCAGCTTTGGAAATTCCATTTTAATGGCTCGATCATAAAGCTGAGAAGGAGTTGCATTTATTTACTCGCACTCAAGAGATAAAAATTGATTATTATACACTGGACTCTTTCATGTATTTCTCTGGATGTTTTGAATATTTTTCTGTGCCTTTACAAGTAGGAATATGCCCTGATAACACTTTTAATATAACTGAATTGTTAATGTTTTCTATTATCCTTTCTTGTTTTAAAGGCGTTCTCCACTTATTCTCACCACCATGCTATTGTTGCTTTTGTTTTTAACATTTGTTTTTAAATCCATATTCCACGTGTCTGTGTTCAGAAAGAAAAAAACACAATAGTGTATCTCAAATGCAAAATCAATATTAAATAGGAAGAAGTGCCATCAGACAAACGTTTATCTGTCATAATATGAAGACACTATACAATGCTTTCAGTATAATTATTATGACTTCAGTGGGTATAGTGTACTATATTAGCTTATTTATAATGCACCAGCTATCATAATGAAACCACTGTAGCACTTTTTGCACTGTATATATGAACTGCTTTTGCTCTATCCAGTGCACCAGACTGTTCATTTACTGGTATATGCATTACATGTAACTGTATAGCTTCATTTTGTTACTACCAATGCTCCTTTTTATCCGATGTGTTTTATCATATTGTTTTTATAGTTGATACTTTTTTTGGTTGTTGCATTATCAATAATATATTAACGTTTAGCTAATGAGCCCAGAAACTATTGATAAGCATGTAAAGACACACACACACACACACACACACACACACACAAACACACATATTTCTGATTCTACCCCAATTTGTTATGAGAAAATGCCATAACACTAAAACTGGCTAAGTACTTTAATATCACTACTTTCTCTAAGCCCATTTTATTATTACATTTTAAAAGCGTTTTATCAAAAATATGCTGTAATACTATGAATGCATGTAGTAAATAAATTTGTGATTTAATTTTCTGTTGTTTGATTGTCCAACTGCTTTAGCTGAAAACAAATGATGTCCATTAGATGGCAGCCGAACATTGTGAAGGAAGGAAGAGAGATAAACTTTAGGCCCTGAATTTGGTCTCTCCGGTATCACATTTCCCATCACCGCAACACAAGTTTTAAAAAGAAAATGACAACGACAAGACAATGGAAGAGTTTAAACATATGAATGTGCTTCACAGTCTAGGAGAAAGACGTGAGATTAGTACGCAGCCTGTGAGGAAGAGGATCCTGACAGACCGAACTGAGGGTACAAAATGTCCCTCGTCCAACGTCAACTGCACGTCATCACGTCACGAAGAAACCAGGAAGAGCTAGTCAGTACGTGGCCTTTTCATCTTGGATCGCAGGAAAAGGAGCTCCGCTTCATTACAAAATGGTACAATGACTCCTCTTTATCTAGTTTAGACAAGTTAAACTGTAATATACAATGACATGTCGTTTATCAGTGCACGTTGGTCGCAGTTTCACCGCGATAATGATGCGCTTTGTGTGTGAAATGATATTTTATTGAGCTGTCGATGCAGAGGGACGCTAGCCTCTCATGTCAGGTTCATCGATTGAATCGCTCTATTCAAACAAAATCAGGCGATGTTTTTTGCCTTTTAATGTAGTTTTTGTAACATTAACCAAACGCTATATGCTCGGCACTTTATGGTATGGGGTTAAAGTAGAGATTGGTGGTCGGGGGGGGGATACAGACAGCTTGTCTAACCTGCTTGTATCCACTCTCTCTTCACTGTGGCTGCAGGAACTCGAGGCTATGACCAGATACACCAGTCCGGTGAACCCGGCTGTGTTCCCCCACCTCACTGTCGTCCTGCTGGCCATCGGCATGTTCTTCACTGCCTGGTTCTTCGTGTATCCTTTCCACCTCTTGCTCTACAGTGCACTGTGTGTGTGGTTAATATGAGAGAATGGGTTATAACAGAAACCGTGAGGCTACTGCAGAATGAAACGCTACAGTAAGATCACACAAGAGGTTTTAAGCATCGTATCAGAGCAAAGTTAGCTTTACATTACTGCTGGCTTCACTTGTCATTGGTTTGCCACTTCTTCCAATGGCACAAGTTATCATACAGCACAGTAAACAACCCATACTATATGTTTTAGATTAAAAAACTACTTTATATAAAGCCACCTGCTGCTTTCCACTCCTTTTGAATAAACTGTGGCATCTAAATTATACATTTATTACAATTATTTTTATAGTTCAGGCCATGATTTTAATCAATAATAAAACTAATCACTAAGTAAATGACTGACATTTGGAGCATCTCTAAACAGAAGTATGATTGGAAAAGAAGCAATCTGATTCTCGCACTTGAGTTTTAAATTTTTTCGCTGTATGTAGCTGGAAGAGAAAATAAAGTACATCCTGCTTCAACTTTGACCTATGGAACATGTCAGAGAGGATGGGTGTTTTCCTGTGCACTAAGGGATTATAATAGATAGTTTTTGTGTTCACTATCAGTTGTTGTATCTTCAAACAGTGTGGTAGCTAATTTTGGCTAAACAGAAGAAATATTAACCACATTTATTCATCCATACAGAAATGGTTATCCTAACACCACAACACATTTACAAAGTTCACTTCCTCTCAGAAACATTTTTTAGACACAAGGTTGAGACTTTCACATCATATTGCAGTAATGCTGATGGACGTAAACAGTTTAAAGGCACAATCATTGATCGAAATGGAAACAGCAGGAGGGATTAGACATGGCAAAGAGCACCGAACTTGGCTGTACATTTTTTTTTTTTTATGAATTAACCCTTAACTTTTCATCAGCTATGAGGTGACGTCAACAAAATACACAAGGGACGTCTACAAGGAGCTGCTCATCTCCCTCGTGGCTTCGCTTTTCATGGGCTTCGGTGTGCTGTTCCTACTACTCTGGGTTGGCATCTATGTATGAAGGTACAATCAAATCTTCTTAAAAGTCTTATACTTTATATTTTTAATCACTGAAGCAGTTTTGAGTGGTCAACTTTGTTCCCCCTCCCTCTTGTTTCCTGCAGTTTTCGGGTGACTGATTCAAAAGAATGACACATTCCAGTGGAACCAAGGACATCACACACAGCACCAACTGGATTTAATTGGACTGCACTGACAATATTCTGGTTTTCTGATTTTGTTTTCTTTTCACAAGTAAAGGGGATTTGTACAATTTTTGGTGTCTTTCTTTGTTGAAACTGATACCTGCAGTGATTGCGATAGTTCATAGATCTCCATAAAATCACAGATTTTATATATAAAATGTTGATTAACAATTTTAATGAGATGAGACCAGAAGTTCACTGCAACTTAACCTGTTGGTTGCTTGAGATTAGAAGGTTATTTAAGATGCGTTTCACTAGTTGCGCCTAAAACCTCAATCCCTGATTAATCTTTGTGTTAAAAATAGAGCAGTCTGTTTCACCTTGTCTCCAGGATAATACTGACTACTCCAGTGATGAAGGATTACACCAGGATTAGAGAAGGATTTAATAAAAACAGCAGGAACACGATTAAAAGATCCCCACTCAAAGACAACTGGATTCACATATAAATTGGCTGGTGTACACAGCACATACTTACCTTACATAAGGCAAAACCAACAGGCTTCTTCCTTTGTGGGGGAATAAAATACCTTTTCCAGCGGAGCTACTACTATGTGTTCTACAAATGGTAGATTAGTACAGATCAAAACAGACTTGCCAAGGGAGGTGATACCTGCATCTACAACTGTCCTTCTCTAAACGTTTGACATTCTTTCATTCAGTGTGCAACACAAATTGATTTACAAAGGCCACATAGATTAACAGACACAAGCCTGATTAATACAATACTACACATGCCATGGTTGGCTTACCTACCACTGTAAACCATTTAACTGCCTGCCCTCTTGGCTACCAGAAGCCAGTAAACACAAAACTGTGGTTGAGACTTCTCGTCATCCTCTTTACCTGTTAGTGAGTTCCACCAGTGTTCAACATCAGCCAAATGCTTTGTCCTAAATGTTGAATAGTGTAAACTTTTTTTTTTTAAATGTGAAAATAAAATCCCAAATTCACAATAGCTGATGATGATGATGTCCACAAAACTGTCCCCTCTTCACTGACGAGCTCTGGCAAAGGCGTCTCGCAGCCACAGAGAGTCCTCATACAGCCTCGGGTCTCCCATATACTCTGCTGTGCGTTTGTATAAGTAGTAATACAAAACTGCAGCTGCCGACAGAAAGAAGCCGTTACTCAAAGACCACAGAGACTACAGAAACTAGATTAGTCGTGATGGAAAATGTACCTCTGGATTAATCTACCTGTTCTCTGGAAAACAAAAAGAGCTTGAAGACCATCTGTCCAAACAAACCGGTTTGACTCGAGCCATCTGAGGTTCTGGAAAAAAAGGAAACACTTGTATGGATCAAAATTGCGCAGTTACTCTGATTAAAGAAAGTAGAAATGTTTCATCAATATTTCACTTGGACACGTGTTAAATTGAGTTTGACATGTGGGTGTCTGATGGTGTGACGAAGCGTACCAGCACCCAGCAGTGGAAGCAGATGCTGAGGGTCAGATAAAGAGCAGAGAACATCAGCAGAGCCCTGAATCTCTCCAGCAGCAGGGACACCAGGCCGACCTGGAACACGTAGGTGTTGAACATCATCAGCAGAATGATGATCACGTTGAACAGGATGGCGATGTCCTGGATGCTGTAGACACAGATTGTACTGGTTTATTTATAAAAAAAAAAAAACTGGTTTCTGATGGAGTGAGCAGTGTGTGCCTTCAATTACTGATCAATGCAGCAAAAACATGTGCACACGATTTGACCAATGGAAGAGAGGACACTGTGTAAGACTGATATATATATATATTATTATCACTATTGTATATTATTTATCAGTATTTACATAAGTAAAGTTAAATTGCTCGTAAGCATCTGAATAATGTAAACGTCTGATTGGCTGCTATTTTATTAAGGGATTTGTTTATTACACATACATTACTGCTATTTTCAGCCTTAAACATATTTAGTTTTAGTCAATCTCTGGCAAATGAAAGTCACAACTAATTATCATTTCATTCTTGATTAATCTAATGGATGTTTAATGGTTGGTAAGTGGTTTGTCATTACATTTATAGAATATTAAGAATAAGCTGAGAAAATTCAATTATATGATATCAAATATATATAAATGATAATTATATGAAAAGAAGAAAGCAAATCTAGTAGTTTAGTGACTTACATGAAAAGCACTAGTTGGATGACAGGCGCTCCTCTCAGGAGTTCACTGAAGGAGTTGACGAAGAGGTCATAGGTCAACAGTGTCAGCTGGATCAGCAGCACCAGAGAGTAGTTACTGGTCTGGAGCATCTTCAGGGGTCGATCCTGCAGACCACCGAGCTTCACAGTCTGTTCACCTCCTTGCTTCCAGCTGCTTTTTCTTCACACTTGCAAAACGCAGGTGGTCTGTTGATGTAGATTCACCCTTTACATACTTAAGTACAAAAACACTGCAGAGGTCTAGAAGCAGACAGACACTTCAGACTTCACAACTCGTCCATTCACATAGTCAGAAACTGGTTTGATTTCTCTCTAAATGTTTTATTGCTTCAGGTTTTCTTTACTCCGGGTTGCTCCTCTGCTCAGAAACATTGTCCTCAGGGGAAAAGAGCATCCTGACGATGATTGCAGGCGGTCCCAGATATCAGATTAGATGTTTGAGATATCTCTTCATATCCTGCAAGTTGAACTAGTTGGTGTGGGAAGTCTCCAGCTGGTCTGCTGCATTTCCTGAGAGGAAAGAAGAGGAAAGCTGAACCATATCTTATATATTTTACCTTGTAGCCATCTTCCAGTGCGGATGAAGGTGGATGTAACAGACAGCTAAATTAAACCTACACATGGACCCTAAAAGTCTCGGACTAAAGACTGATTTCACCTCCACGGACACCTCGTGTTTTTGTTTGTTCGGTTCTGGTTGCACATTTCTTTTTTACGCACCTAATCTGCCTCCAGGACGGTAGCCTAACGTTATGTGATGGCTGAAGATAATCTGGGAGACGGATAATAGAATTACCACGGACTGTTTCACAATCTTATTTCCACAACAGATCACTCGGGTGGCACTGGCACAGCTCAGATTTAAACTCCCTCCAGACACGCATTGTGTTAAACTCTCACAATAATGTTTGAAGAACGCTTATTTTAAACAACCCACTTACCGGTAAAACAGGCGGAGAGTGAAAATAAGTCACCCAGAGCCAAGAAGAAGCACTAAATCACGTTATTCCTACTTTCATCTACAAACAAAGCCGCCCACTTGGAGAGTCCACTGCTGCTTTTCAGCGGTAACGTATGTATTTCCGTAAATTCCATGGTAACGCCACTTTTTACCGTAATAACGGACGTATAGGTTCCTCGGAATATCCCTCAAAAACAATGTTGCCAAAAACAATAGGGAGTACGGTACGCTCTGTTGTTATATTGCTTGCAACGAATCTGCAAATGCATAAATGATACCGGGGGGAAAAAACAACATCTTCTGCAGTGAAGTGGAAACAATAAGTAAACATTTGTGCGGACGTGGCTTTGTTTTCGCGCTCTACATCGAACATTACGGTAGTCTCGAGACAGCGCGCGGTCGTCACTGCCCCCCAGCGGCTCGATCCGGTAAGACACTGAAGTAACGTGAGGTGACTGAGGTAACGTTAGTGGACGCCGTCGTCCGGTGACTGTAGGTGAGTAGTCGAGGTCTCTACTACTTGGCTGAATTCATGTTAAAACACAGTAATGTTAAGTCGTTTTTCTAGAAATATTACGCCTTTGTGTCCACTCCTCTCGTTGCTGTGGTGTGTTAACAACCGATAACTGCTGTGCTGTGTGGTTCTTGTTTAATAATAAATAAATGTGCATGTCTTCACTCTCTTGGGTTTTGGTTCACCTCGGCTGCTCTACAATTGGTCGCATGTAACTGTCGAGCTGTTTCATTCACGGCGTTGTTGCCTTGCTGAGTTTTAGTCAAACTTTTTCGCCACCGTCGCAAACATTAATCTGCATTTCACTACCATATTGTGTGTTTCGATGCGGTTTAATCATCAGAGCTGTCAGTGAGTGGGTTTTTTTTAAGCAACATATGTTCTTAGTGAACCCAGTGAGTGTGCTCTTATGTTGACATTTGTCACAGAAAGTGTGTTTGACTGACTGTTTTTGAAGCCTAAACATGTTGTAAACTACTTAATTAGGTGTAGTCACTTTCTCTGTATGTGCTGAACTCCACCTTGCGCCACACACCGACCTTGCTAAATAGTGTGTAAGGTGTGTAAGTCTATTTGACCTTTGGTGTGGCTGTTGGCTTATTGGGAGTCTAGTTTGACATACAAAATCCTTAACATCTGATGTGTACATAAGCCTTTTTTTTATATCAGGAATACCAGCCTATCTCTAGTGGCATAAAGAAGTTTTAATCTCCGTAGATCATCAACAAGATGCTTTACTTGTCATTTTGAGTAAATGTTTATGTATTGGTTTTATGGCCTCATAGATAGCAGGGCTGGAGAGATAGGAAGGAGAGATTATATTTCATTTAACAGTGATGCAGGTTTCAATTCAGTGTGTACCTAGCTTAAGATGACCTCCAGAAATATCTTTCTTTACATTTTCAAACATTTAAAATTATATTTAAATGACACTGTTTATGATTTATGTTGATATGTTTTTCCCGTGTAAGGGAAATGCCATCCAATCAGCCATAAATCACTGTTTTATGACTGTTCACGGAGACACTGACGCATGTTTCCCTGTAGTTCCTAAGAGTAAAATCTGTTTGCAGTTGTGGTATTTCTGACAATGCAAACAACTGCAAATGTTTTATTTGCATCTCCTCTGCCCTGACAATCTGCCCTCCCCTTAGAGTACACATTAAATCTTCTCACATGACACCATCCTGTTTTTTACCCTCTACACATCCTGGTGCGCAGCCGTGCACTCGACTAGCATTTATAGAAGTTTACTGGAGTTTCTGTTTTCCCCTTCCTCGGACACATTAACGTTTTTCATAGAAATAGATAGAAATAGAAAACAACATGCCGTCATGTTGGATACCTCAACAATCCTATTGCGTGTAGACATATCTGACACCTGGTGACAGCAGCTGGAGATAATGTGTGCAGTCACAGCTTAGTTTGCTCTGCATCTCATGTTTGACATGGGAGGACCTGTATGTTCAGCTTCTCCCAATATCTCGCAGCAAGAAGTGAGAACATCCAACAAGTGTCTTTTTTTAATGCTTTCTGGGTCGTCAAGGAAGTAAATGTCTCTGATTACACATTAAACTGATGGTATCTGATGGATTAGTAAATAACTTTAGTTCTGTTGAAATTAGAACTGCAACGAGTAGTCAGTCGATTGATTGATTGGTCAGTTGTCAACTATTAAATTAATCAGCAGGTATTTTCATAATTAATTAATAGTTTTTAATTCATTTTCTAAGATTTTTTTTTTTTCAAATTCTCAGATTTCAGCTCCTCAGGTGTGAATATTTTCTAGTTTATTTTGTCCTCAATGACAATAAACTAAATATCTTTGGGTTGTGACATTTAAGGACGTCACCTTGGGCATTTTCTGACATTTTACTGACCAAACAACTAATAACTAATCTAATAATCGAAAAAGTTATTGACTAATGAACTGCTAATAAAAAATGACCAGTAGTGCAGCCTAAGTATTTCATTTAGAGACTTGCGGCTACAGTCTGTGGTGACTTCTTTAAATATCTTTGGGGGGTTTTGACATTCAGTTTACAATGATATAGTTAACTCACTGAGAAGCCGTTATCTCCACTATTTCTGGTTGAAAGTGACTCATTGATTCATTAATTATAAAAATAGTTACAGATTGTTTTTGTTGATGAACTAGACGACAAATCGTTTCAGCTCTGCTTCTCATGTCTCCTGGACAAGGTGAAACATTCAATATCAGATGTCAAACTATGAAGTCAGCCTGTGTTTAATGATAGACACCAGTTCTCTACTCATCCCTGCAGTAATGTCTAAGTGGCTGAATGATGGGGAAGTGCTGGTGGGTCAAGGCAGAGGTGAGGCCTTACCGGTGAGCCCCAAACCGCGGGCCCTACCAGCTGGGAGCCCCACGCCAACCCGGGGACGCAGTCAGCTGGCTTCACCCAGAGAGGTGGTGCCGGGCAGCCCTCAGGCAGAGACCATGAGCAAGGCCAAGGAGCTGTTTGTGCTGTGTGACAAAGAGGGGAAAGGTTTCATCACTAAGCGGGATATGCAGGTGAGCAGCTGATGTGGTGGAGTAACAACATTTAGGTCGATTTATGGAGTTTGAACTTTCCATCTTCTTGTGGTCAGAGGCTCCAGGGGGAGTTGCCGCTTTCCCCTGAACAGCTGGAGACGGTGTTTGAGAGTCTGGACCGACGGAGCAACGGATTCCTTACTCCCGTTGAGTTCAACACAGGACTTGGTGAGTGTAGTGTTTATTTGTAATTTGAGAGCACTCTTCCCTGTGTCATCTGTGGGGAAAACTACTGCTCTGTCATCCACTTTTAAACCAAACCCTCTCTGTCTGTGGTGCAGGTGAGTTTGTGGGGCTGGAGGACACAACCGAGCTGAGTCAAGATGAAGCAGAAGAGGATATGGACCGGACGTACTGGGCCCAAGACCCCACTGCAGTTCGATTTGTAAACATACTGATGGAGCTGGGTGCTGACAAACTCTTCAAAGAGTAAGATCACTGGCACAAATGAATTGCCATCCAGTTCTTCTACAGTAGCATATATAGATCTACACTCAGTCGGCAGTTTATTAGGTACACCTAAGTATTCAAACTGATGCAGGTTAATACTGAGGTGTTTCTGTTATTTAGCCTGAACAAAATAGTGGAAACACCCGCCAGAACAACGCAATACAATTTAACAGCACCACAACCTCCAAAGTTACCATAAAGTTGAATCAACATCAACAGTTTCGACTTACACTAAACATCAAAGCTTTCATAAATGTAGGATTTATTGCAGTTTTAGCTAGGCGTACCTAATAAACTGAATGTATATCTAATAGCGAGTAGAGTTGAGTCGAGCCTTACCACTCCTGTATGTATACAGTTTGTCAGTTTTATCTTTTTGTAATGTAAGTAAGTGACGTTGTGCTGTTAAGATGACTTTAACAGCTGTGTGTTGTGTCGTGTTGTGTGTCAGTCAGCTGGAGTTAAGCTCTCTGTGGTGTGACCTCCAGCGAGACAGACCAGAGCTGGTCGACGCCCTCGAAGGCGTGCTGATCCAAGCAGTGTCCCATTTACAGGACTCCATCAGAGAGAGAGATAGTCTTGAACAAGCTCTACGCAGGTCCCATCTTCCTCCCAATGTCCCCTGCATGTGAAACACAATATAGAGTAATTGTGTTCTTTTACTCTGAGTTTTTTTTTCATGAGATTTTCTCTGTTCTAGACGGGAGAGCGAACATGATCAGGTTATTAGGTCCATATATGAAGAAATGGAAAGCCAAATCCGAGAGGAGAGAGAGAAGCGCCTGGCTCAGGTACAGATGCGTGCTGTTTAGTCCAGATTTTGTGCCATTCATCAAAAGTGTTCATTATAATAGCATTTAATGAATTTATTGGGAAATCAAGGACAGTATTAAACAGAAGCAGAGAGGGCGGAAACTTGAGGAGGAGCTAAAGATTCGTGAGCATGAGTTGGAGAATACACTGATCAAACAGAAAGAGGTAGGTGTCCAAACAACACTAATGTTATTTCTGAAGCGTGCGAAGAGTCTTAGAGTGAATCAACAAGATCTGTCTTTGTCTTAAGCTGGAAACCAAAATCCGGCAGCTGAGCTGTGAACAGGCAAACATCAAGGAGCAGAACCAGCAGCTGCGGAGCCTCAACGCCCAGTTACAGGAGCAGGTGGAGAGCAGCAGAGAGCAGCTGCAGGCCGCTCTGGGTCAGCTCAGCCTGCTGCAGCACGACGCTACCCAGGAACAAGAGACCAGAAAGAGGTGAATGGCTAACAGCACATACTAAATGTCGTAAATGTCCCAACAGATGTATCAAAAATTGGGTCATGAAACACTGTCTCTCCTTGAAGCACGACTGAAACATGTTCTTTCTAGTAATTTGATTACAAAGTGAGTTCGTGTAACAGAATAATAAACACATGGGAGTCATATGATCTCTCGTTCCAGTTCCAGTCAAACTAGCTGCAGGCTGTTAAGAGTTTTTTGATCAAGACCAGAAAGACCATTGCTAATGTGAGATCAAATAAAACCATGCATAACTTTTCCATGTCAGACAAGTTCAAAAGTACTAAAATGGAGACACAATAAGATTATTGTAAACAATCATTTGGACTTGTTTTTTCAGTTGAGCGTAAAGATGAATCAGTCACTTCCCTACCCTGCCTGTGGCACTCAGACCAAGGCACATTTGTCCAGACTGAAGAGATAAATCTTTACAAACAGCTCACAAATATATAGTTTTCATTAAAAAAAGGTTGTTAAGTAATAACATAAAGCCGTAATAATAATAAAGCTGTGTAAGGACACTGTAATTTTTAGCAAACGTCACTCAGACAGAAGTAAATTGTGTGTGTTTTTGTTTGGGACTGTTTTCTAATGTGTTTTTTAATTAGTTTTATTAGGTTTTTAATAGTCTATTACACAAAGAAATAAGATATATCGCCTACATAGGCAGTACTAAGAAGGATCAATAAATTGTTTTGTTTTTTTCTTGGGATTTGTTGCCAATAAGAAAAATATGGAATACCGCCTGACTCGTCCTTTAACAATATTTTGTTTGCTTCACTGTAGTAATGTGATGAAGGTTTCGAGGAACATGCAGAAAGAGAAGAATAGTCTCTTAAGACAACTGGAGCTTTTGAGGTAACAGCTGCTGTTTCAATCGAGTTATTTTTGTTGTGAAGATAAAATACATTTCCTGACATAATTTGTAGATAAAAATGTCTTTCTTTTTACTCTAAACATGGATCAAACTGTGTGATGTTGGTTGTAAATGATTTTTTTCTCTTTGTGTCAGGGATATGAACAAGAGGCTGCGCGATGAGAAAGATGCCCAACAGTCTCAGAAGAGGGTTAGTCACAGACACTCTGTCCTTCCTCATCTGCCATTAAATTATTACCTCAGTGAAGACCTTTGTACCCCGTGGGCACAGAAGATTTATCCCACCTAAGCTAAGTCTTGGAATGGCGTGGTGCTTTATTCCATCCTCTAGACAATGATTATTTATATGGGCAGCTGTTATTATTTGGTTATTGATTGAACCTAATGTCGCTGACACGGTTTCAGATTTTTCTGCCATGTCAGCAATGTCTTTTTTTTTCTCTTGGTCAGTGAAGTGAAGGATTTTGTTGAAAAGACATTTATCTTGTGTCAACTTGAATGAAAGAGTGTTTTATATGTATATTAATGATACTGTACATAGCTTTATTTATGCAGGTGAACTGAAATGAGTCAGTTTTTTATTAGTAATAAAACTAATAAAACCATTTGTCACAATTCTTAAAGGAGTGCTGATCCCCTTTATCCCATCCGCTTCAAAATCAATATATGGCATATGTTAACTGAATTCAAAATATTCATTCAAGAAACCGAGCACAATGAATATCATTTCTTGTATTTTTGTCGTATAATTTATAATCAAATAAGTGTATCGCTGGTAAATGATTACGATGTTAAACTTCTTGCAGAATAAACGTAACTATTGGACTGAATGCTTGTTTTTTTAAAACAACAACATATAAAATATTCTGCCTGTGCCTGTCTGTGTTTCCACAGAGAAGCCAGTGTTACTTAATATTCCTTAGAGACTTACCATAGCACACCCATATATTTACACTATATAAACCGCATATTATAAAAACCTTAATGCTACTCATTTCTTCTGCCTTACAAAAACCTTTTAGACTCCAAATGTCACAAAGAGTTTGCAGAAGAAAGGGTCAGTCATAGGTAACTACTTACTGCAAGACAAGCCACTGAAAAGGTTTGTATGACTTAAGTCACATTTATCATCTTTCTGGAAATGTGAGGCAGATTGCCTTGAGAGGAAGCAACTAATTTTGTGTGTATTCATTGATTCTGAAGACAGTGGAGCTCATCTGATGAGTTGGAGCAGGACAAAGTCAAAGAGGTGACAAATTCATCCAACAGGCAGCAACCGTCATGTAGAGTCAGGTGTGAAAATGTTGAACAGATGCAAAATCAGGTAGGGAACATACAAAATCTACCAAAACATTAAATCCCAAATCCATCCATTTTATAACACAACAGCTGGAGGCATACTGTGTCATGATGAGGCTTTTGTGGTCTGCACAGCAATGATGGAGCACATATTTGTCTTTGGTAGAGAATAAGAAGACATGACACTGATATAAAAATGTTAAGTTTGGTAACTTTACCTGAATTTTAGAGCAGAATTGTCAGTCCTCAGCGAGTGTTCAAGGTGGTTTTCCTGGGTAACTCAGGAGTGGGTAAGACCTCCTTCATCCAGCACTACAGCACAGGACACTTCTGCAGTAATATCAGCGCTACTGTCGGTAAGCTTCTCTCTTCTTATCACTATGAATAACACGCTCCTCAGAGTATACATATATTTTTAAGTAAAGTATGAATCCTTGCTGTTTCTAGGTATAGATTTCCAGATGAAGACTTTAACGCTGGGCTCCACCACCATCACCCTGCAGCTCTGGGACACTGCAGGACAGGAGAGGTCAGACAGCTTATTCGCATGTTTACCTGCCATGTGCTTATTTTGTTGTATCTTTACGTATTTCAATTAATACAAATTGAGCTTTTTGTGGGTGTTTTGTTCCTTTTTTTTATTCAGGTTTCGCAGCATCACTGAGCAGTACTACCGTAAGGCTGACAGTATCCTCGTCATGTATGACCTAACTCACTCCCCCTCCTTCACCGCCGTGAGAGGATGGATGGACTCAGTGAAGGTGAGCAGGTGGAGATGTCACAGATGGCTGGATGGAAAAACATGCAAAACAGTTTGTCTCAATTTGAATACACATGCAGGTAAATGACAATACAGAGCAATAGGACACTAATGCCATCTAAGTGATTAATCTCCTTATCTTTTTGTTTTTTGGGATATTTTGTCTAATGTTAATGTAGGTAACGTAATAGCATTCCTTACTATTGATAAGTGGTTAACCAATATGGGTTTTTCAGTGACCGATGCCAATAATTAGAGAATGATGGCCAATATATAATGACAATATCCAAACAAAGAAAAGTTATATATATTTTCATTATGTCATGTACATTACAATCTAATATACTTGGGTTATGCTTCAGAACGTGACTGGTATTTAAAGGGAGAGCAGGGTACAGAATGTCAGAAGAGACGTCATTTAACTGCATTATTCTATACAGTATAACATAATATATATTTAACACTAGCCAGTGAGTTTCATTTATGATGAAACGTGAACTTGCAAACATTTAGAACAGACGATGGTGGACATTTAGGTTTATAGCAGGATGCATGAGACTTTTTTGGCAACTTCCCAAAACACACAAGGAGGAGTACTGACATCATTTCACAGCAACCACACTGACAACCTGCCTGCAGATGTGCTTTATCTCAAAATACCAGAATGATGGGTATGATTAATCATTCTATACCATTGATATCCTTTGTTTTGCTTCTGTTTTCAACACTAGTAGAGGTGTATTTAAACTTGCTGTATGTCTGTCACAGGAGAAGATGTGTGAAGGTGCGGTACTGATGCTGCTGGCGAACAAGCTGGACCTGGTAGTCAACAGTCACAGCAGAAAAGTGACAACTGAGGAGGGTCAGAGACTAGCAGAGGTGAGTCACATTTGAATATTCAAACTACTTTCTGCAGTGATTTACTCATAATGCGACTGCTAGGGAAGGAATATTGTGTTTGGAAATAAATGAAATAAAATGTTTTAAACTTCCTGGTTTTTACAGCAGCACCAAGCTTTGTTTTACGAGTGCAGCGCCAAAACTGGATGTAACATGGACGAGGTGATGACTGATCTGGCCGGGTATGGCAAACTATTTCTTTAATTCACATCATCTGGATCCTTTAAAATGTTTGTGTCTGCTGTGTTGGCAATCTGTTGATACACTTAATTTACAAAAACAACATCATGAACATCATGAACGTTTTAGTGATTTTAGAGGTGTAGATTCATTTTTGTTTGAGACTTTTGTTAGTGGTGCTGTTGAATTGTATTGCAGTTTTAATGGCTGCAACTAACAACAATCAACTAATTGTTTCACCACTATTTGTCACATTTAGTCTACTGTCATTAATATGGCATGTAACTGATAAACTGGCAGTAGGATCACAATTTTTATTCTCACATGTTGTGGTTTCTGCTGCACAATGATTTAATGATTTTCTTCTTTTTAGGATGTTAGTGTCCCAGCATGATCGACAATGTGAAGATGCACTTTTACTGACTGAGAACATCGCTACAAGACGCTGCTGTACATAAACAGAAAAAGAAAGATATTAGCTCCATGGTTGACTGGAGTTATGAGGGATGTTGACTAGTCACTTTTTACTGAGTCAAGTTTACTGAACACTATCTAATGTTTTCCTATGTTGTTATGTATCTTTATAATCCATCCAATTAAATATATTTTTGATGACTCCTTTGTTGTCATAGTCTTCAATATCAATATCTTCAATTTGTTCCAATGGCAATGGAGCTCATATGCGTGAGAAACCAGCTGGGGGCAGCCATGTACTCTACATAGCATGTGGAGCTGCCTGTTGCTGCCAAAAGAGGACAGACGCTCAGGCACTTGGGTAGGAGGCTCGGGTCTGAGTGTCAACTGAGAACTTGCACTGTTGCAGTTAACCTTCAAGGACAGCAGTGTGTTGACACCGGGGTTGGTGGGATCTGGAAAGACGTTACCCCGATAATCTACATCCTTCAGGGCCCACCATCTAAAATCAGGTAGGAGTATTTTAGTCTCAGCGGAAAGGGAGAGCAGTTTTTTCCATGACACAATGAGTTAAAAATAACTCTGATTCTGACCATTGGGAGATTTTGTTGTGCTGGACAATTTTCTTATATGGAGTATGCAGTTGTCTTAAGGCTGGAAAACAGCATTACATTTTTCATATGTGTTTTTTTATATATATATATTTTATAGTTATTGTTCCTTTACTCTGTCTTGATTTGTTTATTTCTTTGTAAAGTGAAAAGTTCACTGATATATAAAATCTAAAATCACAATTTCTCATGATGCTCAGAGTAATAACTTTTCTTAGAAAAGAAGCACGGGGAAGTTCGGTTCCAGTCAGGATGAAAACAGACTTATTCACAAAGTAAAGCATTAAAAGTTAAAAACAGTATTTCACTGGAGTGTGAGAAGATCAGGTTAAGTTACTTGGATGGGGGACACATATATCTGTCTGCTGAATGACATGTGACACAAGTTAAGTATGTTTTCCCCACAACATATTTGATTTCATCCTTGAGCTCTTCACATTGCTCTCTTATACCAACTTTTTTGCAAACTTGAAATACACCACATCTCATTTCTGGTCTACTGTGTAATGTTACTCAAAGTTGATATATAAAAAAGATCAAATGTTGTCAGGGAAGCTAATTTGTTCTGTAGTTTATGTGTTCGTGCTTTTCACACCAAACGTGGAACTAAAGCTGACTGAAAGAGGAAATTCCTACATGTATACCGCAACTGACTAGTCTTAATCAGATATAGCACCATAGGCTTTAGCTTCCTGACATGCGATAAAAACCTTCAGTGTTGGAGGGTATGACCTGTTCTCTGAGCATCTTGTGTTAATTCTCGAGGTGGGGAGTCAACTGTGCAATCTAATCTTCTCCAGAGGGATTTCTCTTACTAACATACATTTTCATTTCAGAATGGAAGCTCAAGGTGAGAAAAGACACAGCTGTGGGACAATTTGTCTGAAATATCTACTTCTTCTCTTCAACATTTTTTTTTGGGTAAGTTAACAAGGAAGTGTTAAGATTTTCTCCGTATTTAAGACAACAAAAGCCTCAGTTAAGAACTCTATTGGGTGCTGTTATAATTATTACTTTGACTTACGGCATTAAACTTATGCTTTCCCTAAGATGTCACAGAATTTCTCTGCAATTAAGATTTTCCTTTTACTTTACTGATCTCACACAATTCCTATTGTTTCTCATGGTTGCAAAAACAACGTATTCCTTATACAAAATATTATACTCCATACAGTTTCTTCTAAACTACATGTATGATGTTATTTAGTGTGTCTAATAGTTATAATAGTTATGCGAAAAATCAAATACTACATATAGTCTGTACTTCAACTTTCAGTTTTTTTTGCATTTCCTTTTCTTAACTTAAGGGTTTAAGAGTAGATTCAATGAGCTCTTGTATAATCTACTATGTGCGTTTCCACACTATGCACAAAGATATGAAGCTGGGATTTATGTGCCTCAAGATAACAAAAACAAATTTAGCTGAACGTCTCCTGGGGCTGAAAGAGAGAATAAGGCGTTGTCTAGTTTGCATCACTGTCACATTTTAGGAGTTATGTTATAACTGCTACAAATTATGTGTTGCATTCTTGATATGAGCATCTGGTCTGAGTTGAGCTGATACCGGTACGTTCTTTCAGCTGGCAGGAGGGACCGTACTGGCGGTGGGAGTGTGGACTCTGGTGGAAAAGAGCGACTACATCAGTTTATTGAACTCCAGCTTCTACTCAGCCTCAGCTTACATTCTGATAGCTGCTGGGGTCATTGTGATAGTGACCGGGATAATCGGATGCTGTGCCACCCTGAAGGAGATGAAGAGTCTTTTGATTGTGGTAAAAATGGATCAGACACACAAAACACTGCCTTTATTTATTTATTTTTTTTACCTTGGTTGTTGTAGTTCACTCCACCAAAGCAATAACCTCATGAATCAGACACTTTTAAGTTCCTGTTTATACACACACAACCTCTACATACTGAAAGTTAATCTTTGGTGACCTTCTGCCTTGTCTGCCTGCATTTAGTTTATTATGACATGACTGTCAGATATAACAGACTAAGTCACGCAGAGTGTGTCTTTAAGAGTTTAGATTTAGAGTGCAGCTCATGCCAGAGGAATGAAGGGCATCACAAGCGGCTGCTTGGACTGAAGAGTGTGTGAGAGACACAGACAGACGCAGTGAGAGGATGTAATACAGAAGCAAAACTGCACAGGCTCTGTGACGTTATGTCTGTTTCCAAATTTGACACAACCTTTGTAATGAATAACTTCCTTCACCACAGTTATATCTGTTATTCTCTGGAATATTATAGTTTTAGTTATGCATAGATACTTTTGATGCTATCATATCTAAAATCACATTGAACGTCATAATGTCATGTTTTAGCACAGAAATGCACTGACACACCATCTGAACCAGCTGTGTTCTTGTTTATTTCATGTATTTCCTGTCTCTCCCCTACAGTATTTGTGCTTGTTGCTCTGTATTTTTCTGCTGGAGATCATTGCTGGTGTGCTGGCCTACATTACCTACCAAGAGGTGAAATGATTTACCTTGTGTTTGTATACATTTGACCAAAGCATAGGGACAGATAATTTCATTTTAAATATAAATATTTCCTGATAAACTAGCATGAACTGGCATGACCAACTGATTGTACTTCATACTTTTTGTTTTTTAGCTACCATGTAGTTTAAATCCCACTGCAGCAAATACAAATCTGACTTTTTTTCTTTCTGTTTGTATTTGATGTGTATTTTTGTCACTTTATTATCACTCAATATGGTTTCAAACTCCATTGTTCTCCATTATTTCTATTTACCTCTATTTATTTCCCATGAAATGCCTCATTTGTTGCACTCTGTTGTGAAATCCTCTCCGCATGCCTCTCTGTGCATGTTCTTCATTTGTCCTGTTTTTCCATCTTTCTCACACCTCTCTTTCTTCCCCCCTTTTCTTGCTCCAGTGTTTCCCTTTCTGCTACCAGGTAATCTGCTGCCACCTGTTTCCATTTTATATCAAGCTGTTTCTCGAACAGATTAGATATAAAATGGTTTGTTTTCACTCTTTGCACTTGGTCAGTCAGGCAACACAACTATTCTTATTTGCAAATTCATTTAAAGAATGTGCAGCACTGGGTGGGGTCCGAGGATCTGTGCTCATATGTTTTGAGTTATGTGTGGGCATTGCACAGGTACAATGGAATGTTACAAGGAAGGAAATAAACTTGACCAGAGGCTATTTTTATTGATGGGAGGAGATTTGCAGATTTGCACTTTTTTTTTTATGAGCAATCAATGAAATGCTTTTTCTGTCTCACAGCTGGATGATCAGCTCACACAGAACCTGAAGGTGACTATGCAGCAGAAATACCAGCAGCCGGGGGAGGAGAGCGTCACACAGGCTGTGGATAAACTTCAGCAGGAGGTGAGTAAGTGACACTGTACGACAGGCAACTAACTGCCAGACAGAAACTCAGACATTCTGCCCCTTTAGCCTGAGTGTCAGTCACCATTGTGTTGTCTTCTTTCTGTCTTTTGTGCATTGCACTGGCTCCCTCTCAGTTTAAGTGTTGTGGCAGTCACAACTCCTCAGACTGGACAGACAGTGTGTGGATCCAGGGGAATGAGCGGCTCGTACCAGACAGCTGCTGTAAAACTCCCAGTGACCTCTGCGGCCGCAGGGACCATCCTTCCAACATCTACAAGGTGGAAGTAGGTAGAGTGTGTGTCCATTTGGCTTTGAATAAATTACATAAATTATAACAACATTTTAATTTCCTTTCCTCGTCTCCTGCTCACAGGGAGGTTGCATTATGAAATTAGAAGAATTCATCCTGAGTCAGTTGTATATTCTGGGTGCAGTGGGCATTGGGATTGCATTTCTACAGGTAAAGTACTAACCACGGGGCAAAACAGAGGTTAATATGAACATCTCTTTTAATGTTGAGCAAAATGCCAGCAGCTGAACTGTGAACAATGGTTGTTTCTGTTTCTGTGTGAAGTGAGGAACTAACAAGTCCCTTGTGTCTTCTTTTTCTTTCAGCTTGTGGGGATGATGTTTACTTGCTGCCTTTATCAAAATTTGAAAGAAGATCCGTACTGATTTTTGAGTGTCTTTAATATCACAAATAATGAATTGTAAAATGTATGATTAGATATTTTAATGCCCAAATTATTTACACAGTTCTGGATGCTGTGATGCCAATTCAAATAATGAGGTGATGATTTTCAAAATACAGACACTACAGATACTATAATGCTGCTGGGCAGCAGTGCTCTTTTTCTGCATTAGCTATTATATGCTTTAATTGTCTTCCCTGTGATGTTAAGATAATAATGTGTGGATGAACCTGTAACCAAAAAACACATTTTAAAGAGCAGAGAAATAAGAGCATGCTGTGGCTTCATTTGTAATCAGTGTTGGTCTTGTGGTTTATCTAGTTTTTTTAATGTATCCCACAGTGTTTACCAAAGTTATATATTTTTTGTTTGTTGAAATACAAATAAAAACGATGTCCATTTATTATTCCCATTGAATTTTACATATTGTATCTCCCCCCTTTTGACAATTAACTTTTATTCTGAAATCCTTCAGCGGATGTTGTTGTCAGCTGACAGCACTTCCTCCTGTAGTACTTCTCCTTTTTATGGTTTCACCCACATTGATTTATCTTCGTATTCATTTCAAACAAGCTAAACTGTTTAATGTGGAGGGATCACAGAGGTAAATGAAATGTCTGCGAAACCAACCTGTCTGATAGTGGCGAGTGCTTCTCCACAAGGTGGGTCCTTCAGTTGGTACCAGTTTATGTTTCATTTAGTGAACGATGAATTACACACTGACAGTGTAGTATTGAGTTTACTTTGGTCATCATTGTATAAATTAGAGATTAGTTCTTGTTTAAATTAACCTGTTTGCTGTGGTCAAACATCACTTGCTAGCTAACTAGCTCAACCGAGCCACAGTTTGTTTACAGTGAGCTCAGTTTAACTGTGTTTTGTTCCTTCAGGAGTGTCAGCGAAGTCTTTCCATCAGTCCTTCAGTCTTTGTACTCCTGTGTTTAATCTCCAGACAGCCACTCCCGGGGTAAGACTACATTTATAGTTGCAAAACACGCAACAAAGTAAATATTACTGCAGTGTTTTAGCCTCCTATCTGCGTGTGAATGCTTTGTTTTAATGAAACTACAACATTACAGGTACAGCTCAAACTATTGGTTGATTAATCGATACGAATCACACAGTAAATGCAATATTTTGATTATCGTTTGCATCATTTTTCATGCAAAAATCCCAAACAAGTCATGATTGCAACATCTCAAATTGAGGATTTCCTGCTTTTCCATTTATTTTAATAATTTGTTATTTTTTAATAAACCAGCATCTCTCCCTAATTTCTTAATTTTTGCAACCCAATCAGTGGACAAAATGATGAGCAGATTAATGTATAATGAGAGTAATCATGAGTTTGCTTCAGTCCTTTACAAAATAGCTGCATCAGTTGATTCCTGTTTTTACATTAATGTACGAGAACTGATAATATTAATTATATAATAATATAGTTTAACAGTCACAGGGTCCATTTTTCCTGAATTGAGTACTCTTACTTTTAAATACTTTAGGTACATATTCCTGCTTATATTTACATACCTTTAAGGATCTGATTACTTCCTTTACTTCTGGTTCGTAGTTAGTTGCAGCAGTGGTTGAAGTTCAGTTCAGATCTGATGGAATTGCAGATGTTCAAATGTCCATTTGAGTATTTTGACTTTTTTGATCTTCAAAAGGTGATTGATCTCGCACAGGTCTGCAGCGCAGCAGATGGTCTAAACCAAGCTGAGCTGTTCTCTCAGGCAGAGCTACCAGTTAAAGTGAGGTATCTTATTCTGTCAGATGGGAAAAAGGAGTACTAACACACGCTTTAAAGACAGGTAGCTATCTGACTGACAGAAAGGATCATTAGTAAATGCGCTAAAACTAATGCAGCTACCCATTCGGTAGTCTATTATTTTATGTTCCACCTTAATGAAGCACTTAATTCACTATTAAAGCAACTGATGTTTAGCTGGCCAGATCATAAACACTGATTATTGACATTATACAATCTTTTAAAACAAACATTTTATCCAGTATTTCCATAAACTGAAGGAAGGTAGAAGAGCAAAGCCTTGTTTGTAGTGATTTTAACCATCAGTGAACACTTTATTATTCCAGCTGGGATGCAGACATCTGGGAAATGATGGAAAATGCAAACCACTGCTGGAATATAAATAAAACTCATGTTTAGATCTAACCTAAAGTTGGCAGCATTATGTGACCTCAGCACTGGCTTTTTTTGTAACTGCAGGGGAAAACAATAGACTTTACTGGAGTCGATGAAAGCACTGCTAGATGGGTGCAGGACTTCAACGTGAAACCCTACGCGACCCCAGCCAAACTTGAATCTATAGATGGTGAGAATATTCATTGCACAACCATTTGGCCGTTTTTTATGTGTGCTGTTGGTTGGACTCTGCTCAGTTAAGAGTCTCGATGACCCTTTCCAGGTGCCCGATACCAGGCGCTGCTCATCCCGGACTGCCCCGGAGCGCTGAATGACCTGGCACACAGCGGCTCTCTGCACCGCATTCTTACGCACTTCGTCTCTCATAAAAGTGAGTGTGAGGCTAATTTTACAAGCAGTCAGTATGTGATTTATACATCCAGTGTGGAGACTTGTTTGTTTCTCTGTGTGCAGAGCCTGTTTGTGCAGTGGGACAAGGAGTGTCGGCGCTGTGTTGTGCCACTGAGGGTCAGAGCTGGATCTTCAGTGGCTACAGTTTAACAGGGGTTAGTCTTCTTTAAGTAAACATGAAGGTAGTATACACAAATATATCTTCATGTGTTCAATGTATTTAACAACTGTAATTGTTTTTGCTGAAAGCCGTCAGTGTTTGAACTGGTGCGGAGGCCTGACTTTGCCAACCTGCCCTTGGTCGTGGAAGACTTTGTGAAAGACAGTGGTGGGTCATACACAGGTGGGTTGACCTGCAGAGCGCAGATACTAATTTGGTAAAAACGTAATCAACATTTTTAAAAACTAAAACCTTCTTGTGTTTATCTCTTTGTTTTCCAGCAAGTCAAGAAGATGCTGTGCACGTAGTCATTGACAGACACCTAATAACTGGTCAGAATATGCAGTCCACCTCACTCGCTGTAAATAATCTCATCCTGCTCTGTGGTGCAAAGTAAAACATAGAAAATGTTGACATCAGGAAGTTAAACAGCTTAGTTGTTCCACATTTATATTCATGTAATTAAACAAACATTCATCTCAGACAAATATTGGAAGATGCTGGGTCAGAACAGATGCTTGGCAACACTGTAAATACAACGTCATTACTTGTCAATGCTGTTATCATAAACATAATAAAAATTCCACACAATCAAATGTCTTGATTTGAAATGTAAAAAAAAAACTGCGAGATGAGAAACATTGTTGTGTCAGGAGCAGATGCAGTTTTGAGGATATTCAAAGCCAGAGAAAGATCAACTGAAGATGTCTGTTTGGACTGAAGAGAAGCTGCAGATGTTTGTGGCATGTAAACTTTGAAGGCCTCAGAACAAGAATATAACCCTTCATTTAAACTTTATACACATAATGATGATGAATGGAGATGTGTTACTGCACTCTGACTGAACTGTACAATTTGTTTTTTTTCTCCCAACATACTGAAGTACCTAATGTCTGCAGCTAGTATCGTTTTTAATCAACAAATCACAGATTGGTTCATGTAGACAAGATTCCCTAAGACTATCATGATCCTCAAACAAGTTTACTATTAACTAAATCCTGTCAACGGCTTGTTTCATAGTTCCCTGTCACTTACTCAGAAATTAAAAAACAAAAATAATACCTGCATACAGCTCTTGAATTTTTGGTGCACCATGTTCAGGAAAACAAAAAAAAGTCATGTGCTGATGATTCACAGTCTTCACTATCCAACTCTCATAGGAGATCATAGAAATAGTCCAGTCCTTGTCCTAATTCCCATAAGGAAATTCCTGTTCCCAGTTCAGTAGCCAAGGAGATCCTTAGGTAGATTGACTGTAAAATCATTTAAATAATGTTAATCTCCAGTAAACCTCATGAAAACATCAGTTATTAAAGTGAAAGGCAATTGTTGTTAAAGTGATTATATGAGAAAGACTTACCTTCAATGATGGATAGTACACCACATGTTTAACAGCATTGTTCCTGAAATTAATGTAAAAGATCTTGTTAAATGATTGCTGTTGGAAGTTTAAGATTTCAGCCATAATTTGTTGACTCAAAGTGTTATTAAATCAGTACCTCTTGTAACTGAAATAGTGCTCTCCAGAATATTCATCCCACAGATGTTTTGGCTTGTGTTCTCGCAAAATCTCAATGTACCTGCAGGAAATCAAGTTTAATACAGTGTTAAAGTCCCTAAAAACCTGGTTTCTCAATCAGCCTTTTACTGTGACCTCTCTCAGCTTCTTGCTACTGTGTAACACAACACTTACAGTTTTCTGGCAAACTTAGAAAAACTTTGGTTATTTCATGAAACATTTCTGTCTTTGTTGTTGCTCCTTTCAGGCTTAGTTGAATCATGTACTTGGAACACTAATCATAACCACACCATTTCCCCTTCAGAGATCCAGTGAGTAACATTTAGGAGGATTTATTGGCAGAAATTAAATATAATATTCATAGCTATGTTTTCATTAGTGTATAATCACCTGAATATAGGAATCATATGTTTTCGTTACATTAGAATGAGTCGTTTTTATCTACAGAGGGAGCAGGTCCTCTTCTACAGAGTCCATGTTGAACAGCCATGTTTCTACAAACACTGGCTCTTGATAGGGCCGGCCATTTTTTGTGAGTCTTGAGGCCGCTGTAGTTTTTCCAACACAGTTGCAAGGCTGAGCTATATTCAAATGGTTGCAATCTGCAACCGCTAAATCCTACACATTGATCCTTTAACTTTAATTGTTGGTATTTTGGTCATGAATACTTGATGTTATAGAGAAATAGATATTTTAAAGTTTTCAGGAGCTTTAAAAGGGAACTTTAAGCTCCAATGTCTGTTTACATGTCTTGTACTACTGCATATGTGAAAGAAAATGTATAAAGACTTTTGAGGCTACAGGCAACATTAGCTGTCACCAGCATAACACACCTGAGCCAAACTGTTGGCAGTTGCATTGTGGGTAATACAGACACCAGGTTTTAACAAGAAAGAATGTGTGGTAGAAAAATTACTCGTTCTGCTGGTTTAACATACAGTATATAACTTGTTTTGCTGAAAAGTGAATGTAAAGTATTCCAGCAGGAGTCACAGCATTCTCTTACCTTCCTCCCAGGATCGGCTCCGTTCCCTGGCTTGCAAAATCGAGGCCATACAAATTGAGTCCAAGCAGGATCTTTTGCCTCCACTGAGTGGTGGGTGCAAGCTGGAGAACACAGTCTCTCACCCAGGGCAGCGGAGAGCTCGGGCCCGGTCTATTAAAAAACATTAAATGTGAATGTGAATGTGAACCTAAAACCATTTCTACCACAATGAATCTATGGACATCGCTTGTCTGTGACACTCACCTGGCACCGCTGGAGTAGTCGTATGTCATGAGGCTGAAACCATCGACCACAGGGGCTAACTGCTCAAACTCCTCCCTGCCAAACATACCTGGCTGCCCCGTACTGGTAGTGATAGAAATGGAAAGAACCAAAATGAGAGTCAGCACCACTGTCAGTGACTTGTTTTTAGCATTTATAGTAGCTGATATAGTGGTTTTATTCACCTTGTCACAGCAGGTGGAATGACGAGAATGCAGTCCAGTCTTTTAGCCTTCAAAGTCTCACATATGTGTTTCACCATATGGACCAGCTCCCTGTACGGAGAAGATTTTGTATTTGAATCATCTAAGATGAAGAAATGGTGGTCCGCGTAATAACGCACATGTGTCAACAGATTAACTCACTTTCTTTTGTTCCCTCCCAGCTGGCTCCACAGCTCCAAGGTGAAACCATCGAAACCTTCAGTCTGCAAGGCCACAGCTTCATTAGACACACGCAGGACAAACACAACAACCCTTTGCGAGGGATTTTAGGGTTAAACGCAGCTCTTATTTACCTTTGCGACATCCACCAGCTCACTTCCCAGCTCTTCAATTTCATCTTCACTCCCCATCACGCTTATGTAGTCCTGGTAAGACCAGCCATCGAATAACAGCCGAGGCACTGAGGGTAAAGGAAATTAAAATGACAAATGATAGAGTCTCATCTGAAACCACCGGCACTGACACACATTGTGAGTCGTGAACAGCAGGGACGACATCTGCTCACCCATCCTGACTTTTTTGTTAGACTTGCGTACAGCTTTGACCCAGCCTGCGAAGACAAAAAAGACCCCTTTATGTACATTTGTCACTAGTCAAGATTACAAAACACTTTCCATTTGACTGTCAGTCCTCTACCTGGGTCATGATCGTGGAGTCCAGTAACATCAAAGGTTTCAGGTCCTCGTCGGCGGAGCTGAAGCCACACTGGAGACACTGAAGTTAGTTTAGAGCCAAAGGTCTTGGCAATGTCATAGCCGTGGGAATTCCACTGGAGGACAGAAAAAATACGACATGTAATTTAAAGACAAAACACTTAAAAGATTGTTTCAAAATGTTCCAGTCCGTATTAATTCAACAGCTACATGTCTATGGTACATATGACTTATTGGTCACTTAAAGTGGTACCCATGGGCGCTGGAAGTGGGGGTGTTAAGGGGGCTGCAGCACCCCCTGAAATCTGGTGTAATGAATGAATAGTCATTTTCCTAAACGATTAGTTGTTTTGTTTACATCTGGAAAATGTGAGAAATGCTCATCACAATTTCCCAGAACAACCAGTTCATAACCCACTGATCTTACATTCACCACCATTACCGTAGGGAACCTGGAACCAGAAAATGTATGAAGGAAGTGAATGATTAAATGATTATCAGTTGCTGATTAATCAATAGTTTCAGCTCTATTAATTTACAGTCTTTTTAGTAAGAAATTTGACTCGGGCAGTCTGATGAAACACAAACAGGGAATTTTGCAATAAAAAGACAAACATTGGAAGATTTGGGAGATTAATTTGGCTCCAAAGTAAAATACCGCTTCAGTCAGTTTTGAGAGGAAGAATAACTGCAGTGACCAAATCTTCCAATGAACATACAGGCAGGTGAGTATTGCATTAAGACAGACTGAACCTATTCTTCCATGCTGTGGTTAAAGTGCTGTCAAACGCTGAACAGCAGCCAGGTTAGATATGACTTACAGGTGTGACATATCCAAGCACTTGCCCTTGAAATGTCTTCTTGATGTGAGAACAGTGTCTCTTTTCCTCCTTCACTATGTCTTTCCAGTGCGGATCGGACACAACAAGGCCTCTCTCCAACACAGACAGCTCAGCTGGAGATGCCTAAGCAGTGAGATCAAAGAGGAAGAAGAGCCAGTTTCAGTGACATATACACAGTAATCCTACTCATCATCATCATCATGACTGGACAAATAACAGAGGATAAGGGGGGCTGCTTCCTGATTCTGGATGATTCAAGCCCAGTGACATACCAGGCAAACAGAGGAAGACCTGGAAGACCTGACAGCACACACACAGCTCACACACAGCTC